TACCCCCAAACCCACTGCCCAGTTCAGGATGGAGCTCAACCCTTCCCCAAGGGGAGCCCAGGCTGTCCCTGGTTAGAAATCCCACAAGGTTTACTCCCACCTAACATTGCTCTGTGAACACTGCATCAGCTTGAGAATTACAGAGAAAACTCAGAAAATAGTGGGATTCCTGGGAATGCTTCAGGAAATTAGGCTAGGGGCTGTCACTCTGCAGGGTGGGCATGCCAGAGGCACCAAAGGGGCATTCCCAATGCAGTGTCCCTGGGAGTGAGAATGTGTGCACACAGCAACCCAACACCTGCTGCTCCCTTCAGCACGGTGAAGCAGTGAGACCTTACCTAGGAAAGCTATCCCATTTTTCTGCAGGAGATCTGGCAGCTTGTGGTTCTCCGAGGCGTGTCCCCAGCCAGCCCACACCGCCTGGCACACGGAGAAGGAGCAGTGGGAACCTTACCCCTGTGCTGAATCTCCCATTGGCCACGTGCTATGCCCAGTTCCTCAGCATGGAGGGCATCACCCATTTTTGGGTGTCCCCTCTGCCCAGCAGCTTCCCTTGGCACGGAGGTGGGAGACACACGAGCGGCCAATACCTGGACAGGGATCCGTTTGGAAATGTCCACAATCAGCTCCACGTTGGCGTAGTTGTTGTTGTTGGTCCCGCCGGGGACGGGCACATAGTGATCTGCCATCTTGATGTACTCTGCAAGACAACATGTGGGGGTGGTGGGAGCCAGTCCCCTGAGCTGCATCCCCTTCCCAAATCCTCCACCCCAGGGAGGTTAGAGGGGAGGAAAATTATTTCCTCCTGGATTTGGCTGCACAGGAGGAAAGTGTGTGAGCCTGGGCCGTGCAGACCCCTTGCAGCCGAGGCAGGAAAGGGCTGCCCCCACTCAGCCCCAGGCAGGGAACTTCCCTCCTGGGATGGTTTCAGGAATTACCTGCATTAGCCTTGAGGTCCTCAGGGGTGACCATGACCACGAAGCGGATGGCGCGCTCGTTCCGGAACATCTCATATGCCCAGCGGCGGATGGAGCGCATGCACTTCACGGCAGCGATGCCGTTGTTGGCAATGAGGACCTGGGGATGGGACAGGGGGTGTCTGGGTGGACCCTCTCCTTGCTGCTGGGGTGCAGGGAGTGTGGCCCCCAGGGATGGCAGCAAGGGGACAAGGATAACCAAGGATGGGACATTGGCCATTGTTTGTGCCCACCAGGCAAAGCCTCTGTGTGGTGTTCCCTCTCCCAGCCTACAAGAGGTTGGGGGATGAACAGCTTTGGGCTGCCCTGGGCTGCCATCATTCTGAGCCCAAAGGACATGGGACACTTGGGCAGTGCTCAAGGGTGTCCCTGTGAAAAGCAATGACCCCCTGGCCCAGTCCCAGGCAGGAGTGTGTGGGGACAGACCTTCTCAATGACGCGGTTGCCCCCAAAGCGGGTGACGAACTCTGCTGGGGAGGCGACGGAGAAGTCCCGCTGCAGATCCATCTTCCTGTGCTCGCGGCCCCGCCTCGGCAGGTTTGTTCCAGACATGCTGGGCCTGCGGTGGGATGTGATGGCTGTCAAGGACCCCACAGCCAACCCAGTGAGCCCACGGCCACACCTCTGGGGTGAACAGGGCATGTTCCAGACCCCATGGCACAAGCACCCAGCCTCCGAGGGGTGCAGCCAGGCTTGGGCCTTCCCATGGCTCTGCCCAGAGTTTGAAGCAACTTCTAATTCTAATTAGCAGGTTCACATCCCCCCTTCATAGCTCAGCCAGATATTTCATGTTATTCCGTAGATGAGCTATATATAAAAGAGGGAGGACCACCCCTGGAACCCCCTCAGACAGGCAGATTTTGTACAAGTAACACTTGGCACATTTATTTTAAGGGGATATGTGTCAAACGCCTCTGAGATGCTGGCAAATGTCCCAGTCTCTGCCTGCACTCAGGGTGTTTTCCAAATAGCTGGAGCACCCCATTGGGCAGTGCCAGGTTTATCTTCCCTCCCTCAGCCCCAAACCCACCACAAAGTCTATCCCCTCCTGAAAAACACACCAACCCTGTCTACAACATGACTCAGGCAGGACGTAAGGACATTCCTTGTATGTGGAAGCACAGAGAAGCAGCAGGGATAGCACTGGCAGCTCTGTGAGCCCACCCCAAACCCAGCACAGCAAGAGCCACTGCCAGGCTGTCGAGTGTCACAACACGTCTCCACAGCCAAAGGGGTGTTATTTTTAACCCGAACAGAGCAGCAGGAGGAGCTGGGCAGCAGAACGTGGTTTCCAGTTGTTCCTACTGGCCGTCAGCTGCGCTCCCATGGGAGCTGCCTGGTGCAGACCAGCAGAGAGCTGCCCCCCAGCCCTGACAGTACTGGGAAAAGTCATTGTGAATTTGACAAAAGTTCATCTATTTCTTATCAGTTCATCATAAAACAACAAAGAGCTACTTTCATAGACCTGCAGGAATAGCAAAGGAGCATCCCATGTACCCCAGTCCTGCAGGGATGTGTTTCCGCACATACAGTACCAGGAGCATCTCAGCATCCCCCCACAGCAGAAGCAAAGTGACCTTGGCAGCAGAATTGGGGCCTATCCTGTTATTTGACTTCCAAAACAGTGATTTTGGGGAAGCACTCCCTGCCCTGGTCCTTGCCATGCTCATGTACATGGGCTGCTGTCACACAGTGCTCGGGGACACTGGGTCTCCCTGGGGTCGTGCCCCAAAGGGAGTTGGATGGGGGCATTGACTTGGGGGATCCAAGCAGCACGTGCACCTCAATTTTAGTACCAGGTTCCCTGAGAAATGCATCCACCATCTCCAGCCTGGCCACCCCACCATGTTCCCCATCCCAGCCCCGTACCTGATGCCCCTGGGGGGCTCCAGAGAGGTGGTCACAGTGGGAGGCTCAGGGATGGTGCCCCCTACTCCAACCAGGCTGCTGCGCCGCCGGCCCACCTTGAAGGCCGTGGTCACCACCTCGTCATCGGAGGAGTTGTCATCGAAGGAGCCCAGCACGAACTTGGCGAGGGACGAGCGGCGCAGGGCAGTGGGGTTGTACACGGCCAGCTGCTCCTGCTCCCCGGCCATGGCCTTGGCAGCCTGTGGCGGTGGGCGGGGGTCCGGGGGGCTCACTTGGGATGGGGGATCAGCTACAGAGGGCTGTTCCGGAGTCTCCTCCAGCTTCTCCTCCACCTTGCACAGATGGTTGGACATTGTGGCCCGAATGAGCAGCACCAACAGCAGCAGGAGCAGGGCAACCAGCAGCATTCACCGGCCCTGGGAGAGGGGGAGAACCTTAGTCATGGAGAACCCAAGGCCCTTATCAGCTGCAGTCATGTCAATAACCCCCCAAACACGACGGCCCCTTCCCCATTCCTCCCCACCCCACAGCCCCCACAGTGCCAAGCCAGGCATTACCGGAATGACCACAGGCTAGGAGAGCTGTTTTCCCCGCTCGGAGCAGGGGGAGCTGTGAGGGGGCAATGGGGGCACAGCAGCAGCTCTGCGAGGGGATGATGAGGGCACCAGAGCAGTAGAAGCTGTAAAGGGATAATGGGGGCACAGGAGCAGGAACTGTGAGGGGATGATGGGGGCACCCGCTGGAGCAGGACAAGCTGCGAGGGGGCAGCGGGAGCACAGTCCCACGCTGAGGGGCTGACATGGCCTCCCACCCCCAGCCACTGGCAGCACCCTCAGCATGGCAGCAAGGCCACCCCACCACCGCCAGCCTCGCCCCTCAGAGACAGGGGGGCCTTAACGGAACCCACAAATCTCTACAAGTGGGGTCGATCACCCCCATCAAACTGGGGATGGCAGGGAGGGAAAATCACCCCAGCCCCAAGCCCCGAGAAAGGTCACTCACCATGGGTGCCGAGCCGCATGTCCCCTCACACCAACACGGACAATTCCAGCCGTTCTCCCAGTCACGCTGCTCTCACGGATCACTCTCTGTGTCCATCTGTCCCGCCTGGGCTGAATCCCCCCCCTGCTGCCAGGGCCACCCCGCAGGGGGAAGCACAGCCCAGGCTCCCCCCCCGGGGTGTTCCAATGGCCTCTCACACGTGACGGTCACGTCAAGCACAAATATTTCCCTGCTAACGTGTCTGGAAAACTTCTGCTGGAGATGAGGGTGGAAAGAGGGAGGGAGGGCCCGGGACACCCGATCCTTGGGGGACAAAGGTGCCCTGGCCCTGTGCCTGGTCACAGGGACGAGGAAAAGGACAAGCTCCTGTGTTTCTCTCCCTGGGGGGAACAGGGACCCCCTCCTTTCCACCCACTAAAGAACCAGAGCCTCCCCTCCCTCCCTGTGTTGTTGTTCCTCCCAATGTAAGACCACATAAACAACGTCATTTTTATTTAAAAAAAACAAACTGGGGAAAAAAACAACAAGCAAACAAAATATACAGCAAAGCCACAGACAATGTAAACTTCACCCTTGATAGTGTTACCTCAGAGTAAATACCGAAGTAAGGTTTACAGGGATACTCTATAAAAAACTATTGTCATTTCCAAACACAAAAGGCACTTCACTTCCATTAAAGGAACTACAAAGTCAAAGACAGGCTGGAAACCCAGGACTGTGAAGTCCAACACTTCATCCTGGAAGTACCAATAGTTATAGCTAACAGTAGCTAGAAACTTTAATTTGCTCCTAAGGTGGCAAAACACAAAGTTCCCTTTAAGACTTTGAAATATCTGAAATAATTTGCAACTATCAGCCCATCAACTGGGAGATGATGATGAAAAAATCTTTGCTGCTGCCATCAGCAGGTACCCCCAGGTTCATGGTCAGCACAGCTCACCATCATCCAGGTGATCTGCACACCAAGGAAGAACCTAAAAACCGGTTTTCCTCTCTAAATGCCAACAAAAAACTCAAAAGCATGACCAGAGCCTTGGTCACAGCCTTCCCTTGGCTGCTGGGAGGATTTATCCCAAAATCTTTAGAGTATGGATACAGCAAGTAACACTCCTGACAGTGTATTGTCTTTATGGCCCCAAGAGGCCATTTTCATAATAAATCTGTAGAAAAAAGCTAAAACCAAGAGCATCTTTCTTTTCCTCACGGGAAGTCAGCTCCAAATGCATAAACAGGAAACCTGGGTCTGCCTGAGAGGAGGCAAGGAGGCAGGAGGCAGCCAGGCACGTACAGAAGTTGAGCAGCTTCACCTTAAGAATTGACATCCCTTCACCAGAGCCTGAAAAAATATTCCCATTACAACAACAACAAACTGACATAGAACTCTGGGGATTTTTTTGCTCCAAATGAAGCTGAGACCAGCTCCAAGAGCAGAGTTGTCCATCGAAGACTCAAACATGCTCTTGAAAAATAAACATTTTAGAATATATATAAAATGAAAGTTTAGGCATTTGTTCATTGACCAACACCCAAAGAACAGGTCAGCAGAAGTTTGTCAGAAATGAGCCAACCCCTGACACAGGGGCTGCACCCAAATCCTGACACCCAGGAGGTGCTCAGAGTGCTTTCCAGTCGATGGGCTTCTTCCCAGATTTCTTGAGGAATTCATTTGTCTTGGAGAAGTGCCGGCAGCCGAAAAACCCTCTGTTGGCTGAGAGGGGTGAAGGATGAACCGTCTGTAGGATGTGGTGGCGCTTCTGCAAACATTGGAGGAAACTGCCCGTTAGATTTGCATGTTTTCGGCTGCTCCTGCCCCGGGCAGATGTGATTTCCTGCCCTGGGCAGATGTGATTTCCCCTCCACCTGCACTACCTACATGTGACTTCCCCTCTACACCTCCTCCAATACCGGCCTGAGACCCAAAGAACCAGCCGTGAAGGCTGAGACTTCTGTCCCACTGTGCAGAGATGGACTGTGTAAAGCAAAAATGCCCAAGTCATTTCCCAATTTTACGCAGATTCATGAGCCTTTTCCTAGGAAAAACAGCTCTGTCCCCAGTGGGACACTTTGCTGACAACAGGAGGTTACACTTGCTCCAGTTTGCTTGCTCAATTCTGGAAAAGGCTAAGCTGGAGCAGAAGGGCCACTCAATTCACGGAGTTCAGGCAGGGATAATTCCCGGTCCTGTAAGGCAAGTGCCCTCTAGTGTCCACCAAACTGAGGGAGAAATCAGGGAGAAGGAAAGGCTGTACCCTGTCAATGGAGCTGCCCTTCCTCTGGGCATAGGCTCCCCACAGCATGAACACGAGCCCGTTCAGGTGCTTGTTGAGCCAGGACACCACGACGTCCGTGAACTGCTCCCAGCCCCGCTCCCTGTGGGATGTGGCCTGGTGAGCCCTCACGGTGAGCACAGCGTTGAGCAGGAGCACTCCTGGGAAATCCACCATGTGGACAGAGGGAGAAACAAATCAAGCGTTAATCCAGCCCTGGAAGTGTCCAAGGCCAGGTTAGATGGAGGGCACCCTCGGCAAGGTGCTGATGACACTGAGCTGTATTGTGGGGTCACATCCTGGAGGGAAGGGATGGATCCAGAGGGACCTGGACAGACTGGAGAGGTGGGAAGATGGAGCTGGCATAGGTTACCCAGAGAAGCTGTGACTGCCCCATCCATGGAAGTGTCCAAGGCCAGGTTGGACAGGGCTTGGAACAACCTGGTCAAGTGGAAGGTGTCCAGGCCCATGGCATGGGGGTGGAGCTTTAAATCCCTTCCAAAACAAACCATTCCAGGATTTTAAAATTATAACTGATTTTTCCAGTTTCCCTTCAGAAAGACACTCAGTTTTCATTCTAAGGGACTTGCCAAACAACAGGTACTGATTTTCTCAGAACTGATTTTCTGTCCTACAAATGGATCATTTCCAGCTACAGGTCTGTTTTCTAGACTGGCTTTTTTTTCTGCTCCACAGTGACCAGATTATTGAGTGTCTCTGAGCTCACCTTGCTTGGCCCAGCCAGTCAGATCCCCATGGCCAGGATGAGTGAAGCCCTCGATGTCTGTAGAGAGCTCCCTGTAAATATTTTCCAAACTGCAAACAAAAAACACCATTAAGTTTTCTTAATATTAATATTTAAAGACAAGATCAAGCAGTTCCACTTATTGCTCTTACACCAGGCAAGAAGGTATTGACTTTAATCTTATTATTTAAGATAACAAGGTCATTTGTAGAGGCAGGGCAGCGAGGACTCCCTTTGTGTGCCTGGCTGGAATCTTAATGAGGTCTCAACGCAACTAGAAATGCAAACTTACATCCAGAATATCACCAAATTATACAGAATTAGCCATATATTTGCAGTGATGTTTTCTTCCAGCCAATGCACAATTCAATTTTAAGTAGTTGCACAACTCTTCACATCAATTTTCTGGCTCCCAGCCCTGAGCAACACAGAACTGCAAATAATTTGTGGCCAAAAGGGATTTTGCTAAATGCCCTACCTGGGGGGAGGTGGAACAGGCTTCTGGACACTGAAGCAGAGCCCATGAGCTTGGTTAGGGCCATGGTATGGATCCTGTCCCAGAATTACAACCTTCACCTGAAAGCAGACCTTGGTTAGCACTGAATTGAAATCAGCTTTATTCACAAAAGAATGGGGGGAAAGGCTTATAAATGAGCTTTATCTTAAAAAAGAGGCATAAGAAAGACCCAAACCAATCTCAATCCCAATCCCCTCAGGAACTGAAGTCAGTCCAAGACATCTCATTATTAACAAGTTAAAGAGCAGAGACCCTACCTAACACCAAGGATTAATATGACCACAGCTTTGCTGCTAAAATTATGAATACAGTTAATACGATTTGAGTGCAGAAGACCAACATTTTCAGAGCTACAATAAAACACCTTGTTGAGATATTTTCCAAATAGGTTTCATCCTATTTTAGCTTTATGCCACCTTTGCTGTGACATTTTTTACACAGTTTATTAGAAATGACATTATCTTACGATGTCTGCTTTTAATTATAGTTCATTACAGATCAATTAAAAGAACAAAGGACATACAAGATGCAAAAACTCTGAAGTAGATAAAGCTGGTAAGACTAGAAAAAAGATCAAAAGTTCAACTAGGCGTTCAAAGGAAATTCTGTGGCTTGTGAGGGCAATAAAACAATAAAACCCTGTTTTGGTATCAGAGATGAAAGGGAAGGCAGAATCTGTGAGCTAGGTGAGACAAACAATAACATCCCTATCCCGTGGGACTGAAGTTTAAGGGAAAAAACACTGAACTAACGTGCCTGTGCACCCAACCTGCATTTTCATGGTTAGAGACTCCGATCCCCCCTCCCCAGCCCCTGCAGCTTCACTCACGTCCCAGATGTCGCACATCTGCGTCCAGGTGAAGACCTGCTCGGGGGGCGGATACACCGTGTAGCGCCTCCTCTCCTCGGCCACGAACGCCATGAGCTGCGGGGGCAAAGAGGGGCTCAGCGGGGAAAGGGGCGGCTCAGCGGGGGCCGAGTGGGCGCAGCGCCCCCTCGGGGAGGGTCGCGGGGGCCGCTCACTCACGTCCACGAAGTACGGCTTGGAGAACTCCCCTGCCAGCTGCCGCCGCCAGCTGTCCGCGAAGCCCGGGGGCACGTTCCGCTGCGCCAGCAGCTGCCGCGCCGCCTCCTTGTTCTTGAGGATGCGCTCCCGCTGCTCCTCGCTCAGCGACGGCGCCGCGCCCGCCTCATCTCCCTTCGCCTTCTTGGCGGCGCTCACCTGGAAGCAGCGGGCAAGGGGGATGCGGGAGAGCAGCGGGCGCGGCCGCAGCAGCGAAATCAGCGCCACCATGGCCGGACAGGCCCCGCCCCGGGGCGGCGCCACCGCACGCGGAGCGTTCCCGGCAAAACCCCGAGCGCGCGCCCATTGGCCGCCGGGACGCGCGCGCCCCGCCCGCGGGCGCGAGCCAAAAAAAAACTCCCGCTCGCTATTGGCCGCCGGGAAAAGGGCCCGCTCCCCCCCATTGGCCCATCTCGGCGTGCGGAGAGGTTTCCTACCCAGCAACCCTGACGGCAGCGCGGCTTTCGGCGCCCATTGGGCGGCGGCGGAGCGTGGCCGCTTGACTGGCAGCTCAGCCGCGCGTGCAGCCGCGCGGGAATTTGGAAGTGGTGTTTACTCCCCATACCCCCCGCACCAAAGGCCGCCAGACCCCTCAGAACACAAATATACACACACGCACACGCACATATATATACGGCCAGACAGACCTCTGTCGCTGCCAGACCCCTGTCCCCTCTCCCTTCCCCCGGCGCCCCCAGCCCACCGCTCGCTACCTCAGCATCTCCTCCCGGCTCCGGGGACCGGGCGCGCTTCTTGGGCGGCGCGGGGCTGAAGAAGGAGTGCAGCGTCCTCTGGCCGATCATGGCAGGGCAGGAGCGAGGCAGAGTGGGAGGCAGTGAATGAATGACTGAGTGAGGGTCGGCAGCGGCGGCTCCAGCGGGGGGGGGCGGGACTGCGGTTTGGCGCCAAAACAGTGCGCGTGCGCTGGGGGCGGGGCCGGCGGGGGGCAGGGGGCGGGGTCATCCCCGGCCCGTTGGTCCCTGTTTTTCCGTCATTCCCTCGGGACGTTGTTCCCGGTGTCGCCCATGGACGGGTTCGTGGTTAAGGTGCCCCGCGGGCAGGCGGGGGGCGATGACGGGAAGGGGCGGCGGCCCGAGGAGGCCGGGCCGGGCCGGCCCCCCCCGCGGCAGATCCGCGCCGAGGGGCTGTGCTGTGACTATCGCATCCTCTTCCCCAAGGCCGAGGCCGACGAGATCTTCCAGCAGCTGGAGGAGGAGGTGCAGTATTTCGAAGGTAACCTCCTGCCCTGTGGAGGAGCCTGAGCTGCCCAGGGAGGCTCCGGAGGCTCCGTCCCTGGGGATGTCTCTGGGAGACCTGAGGGTGGCCTGGATGAGCTCCAGTGCTCCCTTCCAACCTGAGCCCTTCTGTGTCCACCTCTGGGCCCCCCACACGTCCCCCCAACCTGCCCAGGGAAGCATTTCCCTGCCCAGCCCACCCAAGGTGAGTCCCGGAGCGATCCCAGGGCCTGGGCACAGCTGGGGAGGGTTCTGCAGGCACCTGGTGTTGGTACAGTCTGGCCCTGAGAAGCCAAGAACGCAGGTGTGACCCTGGAGAGTTGGATTTGCTCCACTGAAAGCATTTGTCAAGTGGTTTCAGTGATGTTTTAAGAGAACTGGGATAAACCTGCTGTGGCGGCTGGAGTTTGCTGGAAGAGGCAGTATATGAAATATGCCATTACATTAATTCAATGGCAGAATGTGATGGGGATGTTGGTTCTGTTTATCCCATTTAAGGGGGACAACAAGGCAGTGTCCACCTTCTTCAGGACAGAAACATGGGGAACAGGGATGACAGCTTGTGGGTTATCATAAGCATCCTCATTTCTCTTGTCTGGAGATCCCCAGAAGCTGCAGATCCAGGAGAATGTAGGACTGTGCAGAGGTAACACAGACTTGGTTTGGTTTTGATCCTCCTCATTTCTTGTTTAAACAGGTGACTTGACAAAATTGCACATATTTGGCACATGGCACAACATCCCAAGGAAGCAGGTGACCTACGGAGACCCTGAGTTGTCCTACACTTACTCAGGTGTGACCTTCCATCCCAAGCCATGGATCCCAGTCCTGAACCGCATCCGGGAGCGAGTCACTCAGGCCACAGGACACACCTTTAACTTTGTCCTTATCAACAGGTACAGCTGTTGCATCAAGCAGCTTTTTGTGGTTCAAATGAAAGGAAAAAACCTTGTGCAGCACTTGGCAAATGGCTGAAGGGTTGACATTCTCTTAATTGGGTTGGTGGAACTAATGAATGTGCCCTGTGCACAGGTACAAAGATGGCCTGGACCACATCGGGGAGCACCGAGACGATGAGAGGGAGCTGGTTCCCCGCAGTCCCATTGCGTCCGTGTCCTTCGGAGCGTGCAGGGATTTCATCTTCCGGCACAGGGACTGCAGGAGGAAGGGGATGAAACGGGGCCTGGAGCGGATCAAGCTGGAGCTGGCCCACGGCAGCCTCCTCATGATGAACCACCCCACCAACGTGTACTGGTACCACAGCCTGCCCCCCAGGAGGAGGGTCATCACCCCCAGGGTCAACCTCACCTTCAGGAAAGTCATGGCTGGGGACAGAAAGTCCACCCATCAGGGACTTCTGACTGAAAACAGCTTCAGTTCCTGATGGACCTGTTGGCTCCTCGTTCAAACACTGGCTGTGGTGATCCAAGGGACTGGATGAGCAAATTGAACTGAGAGAGATGGTGGACTTGGTAACTGCTAATAAAGCCTCTGACCTCTGATCTCCATGTCAAGGTGGCTTTCCCTCTGTGAAATGCTGCTGATAAATATTTTTGGTAAATAATACCCTTGTTTTGCTCAGGAAGAAGTTTGTTCTCAGCTGATCTTAATCTAATTCGTGCTCCTAAAAAATCAAAAGACTCCATAGACTTGAGGTACAGTTTACAAACACTATAAATCACAAGCTGTAATCATTTAAAGCTGATATTCTTCAGCACGCGACACTTTCCTGTATTCTCTCTCAATGAACTTTAGTTTGTTTGGTTTTTTATTTAAATAAAGTGCAAATGAGACTGACCTGGAGGAGTGCTGAGGTGTGAGCACAGTGAGTGCAGTGTGGCTGGCTGAGTGTTTCAGTCACTGTGACTCTTGTCTGCTTGAATTCCTCTGCTGCTGAAATTCCTGTGTTAACCCTGGAATTAGGGGTGGGCTCTGGCCTTCAGTGTGGCTCTATTATGTTTCAAGACACTCCCACACGTAACTTCAATTCCCACACAGGTGACTTTTGTAATAAGTTTGGTTTTTTATTGCTACTGTACAGTTACAAAAGTACCCTGAAGTGAAAACGCAACTTCAAACAGCAGTGCAGTGGTTTGACTGGAATATACATTTTTAAATAACACACAAAATGAGACAAGGATAACCCAAACACACAGATGGCATCCTGGAGGTCGTTTTTTTTTTTTTTTTTTGTTTTTGTTTTTTTTTTACATTTTATTAACAAGTTCTCCACCATGGCAGCTTGTGACAAGTAACAAGGTTTGAGCCTTGGGTCTCCACAGAGCCCTGTGACTTCAGAGGGGAGGGTTGGCTCCCAAACACCTTGCACAGCTAAGGACCAGGACTGAGGTGCTGATATTTGATCCATCTCCTCCTTCCTAACAGAGAAAGCTGGAACAAATGCTGACCATTCAACCCTCCCCTTGATAGCCCTTGAGGGAGCTTCCAGAGTCAACCCACAGCTGAGGGAAATACAGCTCTTTGCAAGAGAAAATACATGGACTGTGCAGTAAGAGGTGACTTTATGTCTCTGTCCTGACAAATCCAAGACACAGCCCATAGTGTGCGTATCCTCTGCCCCGCCTCCAGCTCGACTGTGTTCTAAACCAAATGTCTGCTCAGCTGGACTCCAAAATGCAGATAAAACCTCTAAACAGAGTGTTGAGAATGGATATTGCAAGATACACACTGCTGGCAGTGGAAATGGTTGGAGTTCTGAGGTACAATGGTCAACCTGCTGGAGGGGGGTGGTTTGTGTGATGGTTTTAGATGATCCCCAGCACTGCTTCACAGAGCTCCTGCTGCAACCCAGTGCTCCCAGTCCAGAGGGCTGGCTCCTTCTCCAGCTCTCTCAGCTCTCACTTCAGCGGCCAGGGCATTTTTCTGGCATTTTGCATCCTTCAAGGTTATTTTTGTTTGCTTTCTTGTTGTTTTTCTATAAATTAAAAGAGGTTAAAACCAAGCTACTCTAGCCTAGCACAGCCAGGGAGACTTCCCAGGAACTAGTACAGCAGTGGATTTATCGCTATTTATGTACCATGAGCCTTACCCGGAACAGGAATTGTGCTCCATACTCTGGAATGATGAGTTGCGTAAATAGTTTTGCATATCCATCCATTACCACTCCAGCTTTGGCTGGTTTGGAGCCTCTTATGAGGAACTCCAAACACCTCCGAGCTTTGGGCAGCAATATGAACACATGAGGTACAAAGTTGCCCTAAGAAAACCTATTAAGACAGTTGTTATTTGAAAACCTAAGCTGCTGTTTCACACTGAAAAAGCTTTGATGAGTGGTTTTCTCCTCCAAGCTTACAAGGATAGAAAAGAGCTAAAAATAACCTACATACTTTATTCCTGGTGATTGAAAAGCAGGAGAATTTTAAAGGAGAATTTTTGCTGCTTCTCCTTCCTTCCTTGCTTTGTTTGGGATTTTTTTTTTTTTTTTGCACATCAGTCTAGAGCAGCAGAATTCACATTTCTATTTACAGGCCAACCTGGAGCTGGTGCAGTGACATCAGTGTTCCCAGGCTGGCTTCACAAGACCAGTAAGTGCCTACCAGTGCTGATCCTATTGTTGATATTCCACTTAACAAGGACAAAGGCTCAGCTCAGCTCCCACTCCCAGCCAGTCCAAGCCCAGCCCAGGGGTGGGAAATGGCAGTTTCCAGCACTAAAATGGGAAGGGCAAGTCTAGAACACTTACAGCAGCTTGGAAATCACAGCATTAAAATTGTAGTCGATGCTACAAGCAATGGTATTCAGCAGTGCTGAAGGAAATGACAATACTGATCACTAGCAAACATGTCTGTGTGCTGATTCCAGCTATATTCTAAAGGGAGGGAGCAATAAATTAAGGTTTCGGCTCTTAATAGAGAAAAAAATTATCTCCAGGGAAAAGGAAACTGCACTTGGAATCAGCAGAAGGATTTCTGTGATGCATAACTAACTAAAGTAGTGAGGAAAATTATGTGAACAGGGAAATTTTTGGATTGTGGCTGTTTGTGGAGATGCCTGACATGATAGATTGATTAGCTGGGATATCAAGGGAAATCTGATTCCACTGGTTCATCCCATGGTGGTGGGGCATTCCCAGGACACAGTGGACATGCAGTGGGCTCAGACAGTGGCAATGCAGCTGTTCAAGGAAGCTCAAGGCACTTGGTTTCTTAAATCATTGCCTTTGCCTACAGCAGCTTCCCATCAACCCCTCCCAGGGCTCCCCCTTCTGAAACACCTGCAGCGAAATGTGGAGGACTGAGCATCTCCCTTGGAAAACTGCCATGTCAGGACACGGGACACAGCCTTGGGAAGCCTGAGATGACAAGAATCGCCGACACAACAAACGCCTTCTCTAACACGCACTTTTTGGTACAAATCACAACTCCCGGGGAAGGGGGACCTCGGATGGAGTGGGGGGGTGTGTTGCAGGACAGGTGCCACGTGGAGCTGGGAGGAGTCTGAGCGAGGTGCAGTCCCGACTCGGGGCAGCCGCCGTGCCGCGGTCACTCCTCGGGGCCGCGCTGCGGGGCGCGGCCGTGGACGCGCTCGTAGAACAGCAGGTACGCGCTGGCCGCCAGCACCTCCTGCAGGCTGGCCCTGCGCACCGAATCATCCGACACCCAGAGCCACTGCCCGGGCACCGCCAGGGCCCCCCGCGGGCTCGGCGAGCGCCGGTAGGTCACGAAGTGCCCCGAGTGCATGTCCCCGTGGTGCACCACCACCGCCATCAGCCGGTACAGGTACAGCGGCGTGCTGCGGGAGCACAGCGTCAGCACGGGGGAAACACGCACCGCGGCATCCCCCCACTGCTTTTGGAACAAAGATGTGGCTCCACTGGTGGAATTCCAGCACAAACTGTGGCTGCCCCACCCCTGGAAATGTTCAAGGACAGGGCTTGGAGAAACCTGGGCTAGTGGGAGGCGTCCCTGCGCAAGGCCAAGGGTGGGACTCAATGAGCTTTAAAGTCCCTTCCCACCCAAACGGTTCGGGGATTCTGTGAGAAAGGATTATCAGGAGGAGCCTCAAGGCTGTTTTACCAAGTAGAATCATGGCAGGTGCAGCTGAAATCGAGCTCATTAAATTCAGTGTTTGAAAGAAACGTATGAGAGATCTCAAGTTTGTTAAATGTTTGAAGGAAATCTAAAAGGGATCTCAAGCTTGTTAAATGTTTGAAAGGAATCTAGAAAAGATCTCCAGCTTTTAAAATAGAATGTTTGAATGAAATCTCTAAAGGGTCTCGAGCTTGTTAGATATAATGTTCAAAGGAAATCTCTCAGAGATCTATGCGTTTCTTGCCGTCATTTAAAATCGGAGTAAAAGGAAAAAATGAAGGGGTAGAGGAAAACAGCAAAAATGAGATTATGGCTGTTCAGAGGGATGATTTACTGCACCATGAACCAGAGAAAGGGGATTTTGTGTTTTACTTATAAAATACTCTTCTCCCTTTTTTTAGGAGAGAAAAGAACTACTAAAAATCAGCCAAGAGACAAGCACAGGAGCTGGAACTGATGTTAAATTCTGTGCCTGTGCAACCTCACGACAATGACAGACTAAAGGAAGACAATTTGAAGGACAGACAGGGTACAAATCTCTAACTTACCTGCACTCAGGGAATGCAGCAAGTGGAAAAGTTCCCGGGGACATTAAAAACGAGGAGGAGGAGGAGGAGGAGGAAGAGGAGGAGGCACCATTCATGAAGAGTGGTTTGGTACCAGGGGTTTGTTCTGCTTCTGCCAGAAGAAGGTGAAATTCAGTGATTTAACATAAATGTTACTGTTACATTGCTAATAACAGCACTTATGATACTGTATTTTACTTATTTCTTTAGACATCACACTCCCTTCCAGATCCAGAGGACTGCAATATCCAAGCACAGCAGTGATTGTTTTTACATGACAAATATAAAAATTACCATGTTTACAAAATCCCAACTGAACAGATTACTGAGGTGCCTAAAGGACAGCCCTACTCCAGCTGGATTTTCCAACTGTTATTCAGGAATTCGCCATTCCCAGCATTCCTTCTCTGCTTATCCTGGAGCCTTTAGAACAGACCACTAACAAGAAAAACCCTGGCACATTCCAAGGTTCAACATTCCTTCATCCTCTGAACATAAGACATGTGAGTTTTCTGCTATTTTTTAATAAGGGTTTTTTTAAAAAGAATTGAGTGGGATCAAATTAACTGACCAAAACTGAACTGTAGATTTGGAACAGTGGCTGGGAAAGGGGTTTTTCCCTGCCCTCTTTGCACAGATCCATGTGAAGATGCTGCTCTTTTATTCATTCTGCATATCAGAATGTTTTCTCAACGAAATGTGGAAATACCTGATCTATTTTATTGGCAAAGTACCTGGAGGTTTCACTGCTGTCCCATCCTTTGTTCCAGGGGTTTCCTCTGGGGTTTTGTGGCTGGATTTTTGCACAGGAACTCGGTATTTGTAGATGTCCATGACCAGGAACTCATTGAACTGGACGTGTTCGTGTCGCTTCAGGGGAGTGCCTTGGTTGGACCAGCTCAGCCTTTGCAGGTGGATGCACAAGCACTGGGGCAGCTTCGGGAATACCCCACAGGAAAGGAGGATCAGAACACATTTTAATTGCAAACAAACAGGTGGGAAGTCCAGGGGACAAGAAAATGCATCCCTGAGCTGTTCCCTTGTCTCTGTGTGGGCTCAGTGGCAACAGTGTCCCCAAGACATGGCAACAGCTCAGACCCTTGAGACATTCCTGGGATGTGCTAATCCTCAATAGTTAATGGATTGCACAGGGGGAAAAGGTCAAGTAGTTATGAACAGATGAATTCAAGAATTAATGCAAGGCATGAGCCAGCCAAACTCACATTTAAGTGTTTTGCTGAATAACAGTAGAATATTCTCATTCTTCAAGCTTCAGGGTTTGATGTTTGGCTGAACTGAGGCCTCAGTGCCCACAAATATTTGCCAAATGAGATTACTTTTAAAAGTAAAACATTACAGTGGTCTAATAGCAAGAAATGGACATGAAGCAACACATGAAAGAAATAAGTTACCGTATAACAGGATTTAGAAAGAGGTTTGGAGGGTTAGTTTGCCTTACCTTTCCTAACTTTAATTGCTTTACAAATGTTGTTCTCTGGTTTTCTATGGTCTGTCCATTCAGAATTCCTTCTGCCTGGATCTGAAATCAGAGGGGAAATAAAATAAGGCCATTTGGTTATTGCTGTGTCCAATTCCACATCATAGTGCAGGTCTGCAAATTGTCTGTCTAGAAATGGGCTCAGTGCAATTATTACACCTAGGAATTTCTTCAGAATTCCTGGGCTATCCTAAAGGATCAGAATTCCAAACCAAATCAAGCAGAAACATTTCCAGAGCAAACCCCACCTCCAGGCTGGTGTTTCTGTTTGTGTTCAAACAATACCAGAACAAATAAGTATCCCAAATATTATCTAAATAATACCTGGCAACAACAGAATAAAATATTTTTAAGTTTTGTAATAGTAGTAATAAATAAAGCCTCAAAATATTCTGTGAGATAAGAACTCCCTGTTAATACTTGAAATCCCGGGCAGGTCAGAGACTTCCCTCAAATCATTAAGGAAAAGGAGTTGAAAACTGAAGGCAGAATTGTGTCAGCAGGGTTAAAACTGAGCTCAAAGGTTGTAGAAATTCCAATGACCTACTTTAGTGCAGTTGTCACACACCACATCCTTCACAGACTCCGAGGAGATGAAGTGATGGAGGCAGTGATCCAGTGTCATGGGACGGCCCTGAGTGCCAAGAAAACACAAAGTTACTTGCAGGAATTTCAGACACTGAATTTTGGGAAAGGATTTTTAATTATTTCCTCCAGAGAAACTACAGAATTGCACAGTTATTTCTTTAAAAAACCTGCCTAAATGGCTTTGGGTGTAGAAGACTGGTAATGTAACTGTTGGGATCCTTCCTTAGCCTGGATTAAACATAGAAAACACTGCAGGCTGTGGGTCAGAACAGCTGGGGGTTTAAACCACAGATTCCTGTCCTATTTTTCTCTAGTTCCACCAGTTCAGGAGTCACTTTGTGTTCTTTGAGCCTCTACACAGGAGAAATACAGCTTTTAATTGCATTTAGGCTTCCTTCCTGTCCCACCCCACTGCAAGGGGTGAAAGGTATCATCCTCTTTGATGGTATAAACCAAAACCCAAATAGCACAAAATGTGTCCAAATCCCAATCCTGGCTGTCCAGGAGTGCACTCTGCAGGCAGGAATCAGAACTTCCATGGCTGCAAGTAGTTGCTCCGTGTCTGGGAGGACAAACCACTATCAGAAATGAAATAACAAAGTGTTAAAATCCAAAAATATCCTGCACATTTTGCCCCCCAAAATCTGAAGTGTTTTGGCATTTGAAGTTTATCAGAGCCAAAAGAAATGGAAACAATTCCCAGTTGAAATCACCGGATGGAAAAGCCTGTGGGGGATAAGGTGTGAACAGGGAGAGAGAGCAGCTGCAGGGCACCTTCCCACAGTGGGAAGCAGCCCTTGGGAGGTGATCAAATCCAAGGAAGGACAAAACCCTTCACCAGGAGAAACAGAAAACCCTCCTGTTGTCCCTGTGTTTGTTGTACTCATTGGTGATTTGCACCAACGCATCAGTGAGAAGGTCCTGCAGTAGCACCATAGGATTACAAAAAAGGCAGGAAAAGAAACTCCTGAAAGTAGCTCTAAACTTACTCTGAGGCTGCAGCACTTGAGAAAGGCACTAGAGAAGGGAAAGCCATGATGCCAAGGGGACAGGCTGGATCCTGGACCAGGGGGATACGTACCCACACAGCTGCTGGAATGCTCAGGGACAGGCTGTCGAAGGTGTCGAACCTCACAGGGCTCTGCAAGAGAACATCCCACATATCAAGGGAGCCAGAACTCAGGTCAGGCCAGAAAAAAAACTAAACTCTCACAGGATAAACATCTGCCCTGTGCTGTCCATAATTCCCTGGCGGAATGGGATCCAACCCCCCCCATTTCCCAAGCACAGCACCAGGAACACTAGGCCTAAGGTACTGCTGGGCCTCTTCCTGCTCCTTTAAATTTGTTTGCAAGGTTTAGAGAAGGAAAAGGACAAATGAACTCCTACAGTTTGAGCTATAACAGAGATTTGTCTTCTGTATTTCTTTTCTTTATCCAGGTTGTCTCCAACTCCTCATTCCAGATAACTGCACTGCAAATTAATTCCCCTTTGCAATCTTAATACTTGAACAACCAGCCCTAAACCACTACCCCTGGGAGGGGATTGTCAGGTAATATTATTAATTAATTATTAATTAAATTACATAAGAAGGCAGCTATTATTCTGTTTGATGAGATAGCTTTTATCCCCACAAAGTGGATCCCACTTCATTTCCTTCAGTATATTTAGTGATAAATAGCGATAAATTCTCATTCCTCACCAACACCAAATAAATAGCTGAAAAATTAAGTCCCTTTTCATATATAAATATATTATAAAAGCACATATACATTATATATTTTCACACCATGCATTTTATATATATGTATATATATATTTATATATATTTATTCATTCAATTATTTTAGATGATAAATACATAACTGAATGAGTAGATAAATAAATATATATAAAACCAGCTGGCTTTGTACCTGGTGCTCACAGTGTTTGCAAACCATGTTGCTGGTCAGCCTCCCATGGAAAGGATGCTGAGATTTCCAGTGGTTTGACACAGGGGGAAGAGATCCTGCAACACAAAGTTGCAATTACCCTTTTGTTTTCAGTACATCTGTGTTCATCACTCTAATTCCACATTTTTGCCCCACACTAACAAAACTGACTGCCCCAAAGTATGTTCTGTCCCACTGCCAATAATTAATGGGGGGTTGTTTATATTTCTGAGGTATATTTCAGCCCAATACAGACGAAGAACAATTAATATTATCCCCTTAATAACCAAAGCAACTCCCCTATGAATATTCATACTCCAGAATGGATAAAATCCTACCTCTTGTTCTGCAGCTTATTTGCTTTTGGGTTGTTTCTGTTTGCTACAGAGGAAGATAAAAGGATTTCATTAACCTCAGAAACAATTAAATATGTTCCTATTTCACCCCTAATTGGCTTTTCTGGCATTAGAACAACTGTGGGAGTTTTAGCGGCTCTTTTTATTTGAAGAACAAAAAAACCGGGCACAAAACAAATTTATAATTTACACTGTTAATAAAATGAAGAATTAATCTGCAGAATTCTCTGCCTCACAGCACTAAAATATGAAATTTTATATACCTTCTATATATATTTTAGGCAAAAAGAGATAGAAACTTTCCATCAAGTTTATCACTGAACTGGAGGATAAGATAAATTTTACCTCCATAAATGTCCATTTTGCAGTTTTCAAACCTTTTTCACTATAAGAGTAACTGCTGAGATGAACACCTGCTCTGTGCTAGTATTTAAATCCCCATATTCAGTGGATTTAGGGATGCAAAACCCTCAGGAAAGTGGGATCAGTGTAAATTCAAAGACATTTCCATTCTTTGAATTGCCTGACATATGGATTAATTTCTGTCAAAGAGCAGCTTTATGAACATAATAAAAATATCCTGAGCTTCTAAACAGACAGTTGGGAATCCAGGCAGATTCCAGGAACTCCTCCTGCTGATGGAATGAAAGGAGTCACCTCCAGGGAGTGCACATCAAACAGGGGGGTCACGCGGGGCTGCCGTTCCCGTTCATCCTCCAGGGAAGAGGTCAGGACATGGAACAGCTCATGGGCATCCTGGGAATACAGTGAGGACCAAAACACATCAGAACACACCCCAGGAGGGCTGGAATACCCCAGGAAATTAGGGGAAAATCACAGCTCAGAGCCCACCTTATGTATTTATTAGTATAATATAAATATATAATAAATGTTAATAAATAAATAAGATCATATAATACACACACATAGATATAATAATACCAATGGATAATAGCATATAAATATGAATGAATATTTAATATTAAATATATTAATTACACCCATTGTGCACCTGCTGTTGTGCCAAAAAGTTCTATAACAGCACAGAGTATTAAAGATATTCTGGGCTATATAAACTCAAAAGAAACTAAAATACTTGGAGGAAAAAATAAAAGAATTTAAGTCTAAATTCCTGTTTTCCCTGAATTCAGTAAAAGCTTAATTGGAATCTACCCTTGGAAATACAGAATGTATTTTATGAATGAGATATTGATGGAGTTCATTGATCAACTGCACCCAGGGCTGGAAACGCTGACAAGGAAGAGAAATCCTGGAAAGATTAGAAATCTTGGATGGTACAAGTAAGAAAATTGGGAAATGTGAGTGGAATCCATCCCTGGAAGCAAAGCACAGATCCATCAGCCATAGGGAAGGTAGGGCTGGATCTCTGCTGGTTTAATCTGGTTTAACATTCCTGGCCATGCTGTTCCAAGTCTGAAGGTAATCCTGAGGTCTGGAAGCAGCCAGGTTTTCCACAAGGAACATCCCAGAAAACTGAAAACCCCATCCCTCAATCCCATGGTTGTTTCCCATCCCTCAGCTCTGAACACTCAGAGCAGTTGGTCCCAGAGCTCCAGGTCCGTTATCCCTGGCCAGGGGCAACACCAGGAATGTTCCTTAACTCACCTGCTCTTCAAAGGAGGAGATCTGCCACCTGTTCATCCTGAGCACCTCCAGCAGGCAGCTGGCATCCAGCACATCATCCTCTGTCACCTCCTGACAGGACAAAGCTGGGGACAGGGCACGGACAGATGTCACAGGGGAGCCAGAAATGGGGGAAAAATCGCTATTTCGCAGCCCACAAACCCTAAGTTAAAGCCCCCCCCATGCCCACACCAGCTCAATGCACGTGTTCACTGGCACCGTTTTAGTAGGAACATCCCAAGACAGAACTTCCAAGGGATTTCCTTTAAAACAAACCCCTGTGAGAGAAGCCAGAGAGAGCCAATTCATTTTGAAGATGTGACTGAGATGAATTTAGCGCAGGGACAAGTCTGAAACGAGTCACCTCGAGCTCAGAGGCTTTAATATTCTTATCCAAAATCATCCAAAGTATCTCACTTAATAGTCCAAATTTTTTGGAAAATTTAAATCTTGGAAAAAAATGCTTCTTTGCTAATTACTTCTTTTTTTATAGAATTCTGTCCCTCTGTGAAAGGTGGTTGAGTTTGGCCAAGGGATTCAAAATTACAGAGGGAAATTAAATAGGTAATAAAACCACAGGAACTACTTTCTGGGGGGGGGGAAAGGCTAAAAATAATAATGTTTCTGGTAAATATTTTATTCTTAGTTTACCACAAGAGGAAAATGTTCCAATACCTCTGAGGAGCTGCAGCAAAGTGACAGAAAGGTGTTGGTGCTCCTGGGGCTTGCTCTGCTCTGTCTTGTACTGGGCTGTGAACTCCTCCAGCCACCTGATGAAGGAGGGGCAGGAGGACAAGCCCTGCAGCAGGGAGTTCATGAAACATGTGTTCCCAAGGTTCAGGAGGCCTGGGACAAGCCCTATAAACAGAGAGTTTACACCATGAAGTCTGGGAAAAACATACCATCCATCAGTGTAGGAATGTTGTGTTACGTGTTATAATTGCATGGAAACCAAATCATTTCAGTCTTAATTGTTATTTCATAGAATCCCAGACTGGTTTGGGTTGGAAGGGACTTAAAGATAACCCTGTCCCACTCCCTGCCACGGTCAGGGACACCTTTCACTATCCCAGGTTGCTCCAACCTGGCCTTGGACACTTCCAGGGATGGGGCAGCCACAGCC